TAGGAAGGAAGCTGGAGTAGCAAGACAACACAAAGCGCATGCAAGCACTAGAAGTACATGATGCTTCAGAAATATGAGGCGGATGTGCTAATCTTTTTACTTTTTACTCTAACAGTGTAGCTAGTTAGCCTAAATCACTCAGGACTTGGGGTTGAAAGATTTTCTAGTAGTCTACTCATGTGATGTATGTCGAAATCGATTAATCGATGACTGATCATTTTTCAGCACAGTACAGCGGTCGCCAAACCTTCCGGCATAGAACAGTCCAATTTTTTAAAAATTAAATTAAAGCTCACCGTTATGCTAAATGTGGTTGTTGTAATAAGTTGGAGCCTTGCGCATGTTTTCTGTTCAATGGGCCAGCCCGTCTTGTTTTCCATCGGAAGGGTTTTTCCTGCGTTCAAAATTACGTGGCGGTCGCCTCCAGCTAATATTGTGCCGCCCCTAGCCAGACAGATAACTAAAAATATACCTGTTTGTTTTATTCCATTCTTGAAATGTTGCTAGGTACCCTTTTTCATGGGAAATGCATAGTAGAGGTTTATCCGGTGTTTTTTTTTTTTTTTTTTAACCCCCCCAATTTTTCCAATCCATTTCAGTGGGCTTCAATTTTAGCTATTCAGGGGCCGGCAGGTATTTTGTTCATATTTAAATTGACATGTTTTGTCATAGATATGGTTAGGATTTGCATGAAAAATTGCGCCTCCCTCCCCCATCACTGAAATCGCCCATCCCTGGACGAGAGGATTGCAGGAGCCAGCGAGCGAGGGAGGCATCAGCATTTAGTTCCTCTGCCGTGTCGCAGCCGTTATTTATTTTTCCAAATCTATGGAAATGTATGGCACAGATGAAGTGCAATTGTAAAGGGGACTTGCACCATTAGAAAAAAATCTTTCAAGTGTTTGTTGCGGCAGGGGCCAGCACGAGAAGGGGCACAGTAATCACCGCAGGTTCACCTCGCTGATGACGGGGAGGGAATTAATTTAGCGCGCGGGGGGAACAAATTACAGCTCCCACTTCGGCAGCGCGCGCCGTCACACAATAGCATATATAAATATTTGATCACGGGTGATCCAGGTTAGCAGAGGTTTAGTACATCTCCATTTACACAAGGGCCCGCTCTCCACCCCGTGGCCTCCGCTCCCCTCTCGGCCGTCCTCCTGATGAGTGTCCTCTCCTTCACCTCGCCGTCTTCCTCCTCGCACTTTCCCCTCACCGTGGATCTCTCCTCCACGTGAACTCCCACTGTCTCCCGTCTGTACTCTTCAAGCGACTCATTCAGTTGTGACCTCCACTGGGGGAAGAAAAATAAAATGAAATCGTTCATCGGCGTCTTAATCCACCCTGACGCAGACGTATCACTTGTTGAGAGACAGTGTGGAGCACACCGTGAAAAACAAGTTTCAGCTGAAAATGTCACGCTGATTAATGGACTGATGTGTAAATCAAGTTTTGGCCGGGGGGGGGGGGGGTCAGGGGGGCCGCACCGTGCACCCAACTGACTTGGTTTTCTTCTCCGTAGTAAAGATCCGATTGGATATTTTGAATCGCAATAAATTAGCTGGGGAGAAAATAGGGGCTTTGTTATTTTAGCTTCCTCTTTCACTTGCTCCCCAGCTCGACCGTAAAAACAAGCCTGTGTGATACTATAGAAAAAGGAAATAGAATCATATTGTTAGGAAAAAAAAAAATCCCCTGGACACGCCCTGTGTGGCCCACCGCAATATTCACCTGAGCAATGCGGTGTTTATTTTAAATTTCATCTATCTGTGTGTGTGTGTGTGTGTGTGTGTGTGTGTGTGTGTGTGTGTGTGTGTGTGTGTGTGTGTGTGTGTGTGTGTGTGTCAGTGTGACCCGCTTGACGGACACATGTGCCTCTCACCTCATGCATCCGCAGGTATAGACTGACAGTGTTTGCGCAAGAGGGGAAAGTTTCAACAGAGTGGCTTCTATTCAACACGGTCTTATATTCCGACTGAACTAACATTGTTTTTTTTTTTTTGTTTTGTTTTGTTTGGGTTTTTTTTTTGTAGTCCTTTCATGCATTGGGTCATAGTGGAATCCGCAATATTGTAAAGCCTCCCCGCTCGTACAAATTTGGAGTTTGACTAAAATGTTGCACAAGTGTTGCAGGACTTTGTTTTTAAGCCAGGGGTGTCAAAACACATTTTTGTCGCGGGCCACTTATGAGTTACGTCTTGCCTCGGACGGCCGTTATGATGGTGAAACCACAAAAATGTTTCATCGCATTATCCCATCATTACTTGTAAGGGGAACAAAATTATTGCCAAATTTCAACGTCATTTATTACACATGACTATTTGACATTTTCGTTACATTTTTTTTAAGGAAGGATCATGCAAGTTGACACACATGATTTTCTTTAATGGGACCACTTAAAATGATACGGCGGGCCGGATCTGGCCCCCGGGCCTTGAGTTTGACACCTGTGTTTTAAGCCCACCAGGTGGAGGAACTTGAAACATTGAGTCTGAGAGCAGTTAAAAGCAAACTTCTTTCATCATTCCTGCCTGGATATCAACTTTCTTTTAATCCGCCAAATATATATTTTTTTCTCCATCGGATAAGTTTCTCAATATACAACAGTTGGACTGCTAACGTTTGGTAATAGTGCTCCTTTCGCATTGAACTTGGTCCAAAACTAATTCAGACAGAAAACATAATATTGAAAGAACATATTTGACCTGATTTTTCCTAAATACCTTCCGAATGATGATAAAAAGACACATTTTAGAAAGCGACACCTCCAGAGAGAGTCGGGAGTTTTCCGTTATTCTCGCCATGATGCGAAAACAATCCCAGCCGAGAACGAGCTGCTTGAAGCTGCCTCACCAGCGGCCAAACTGTTTTTTTTTTTTTTTTAAATAATAATGAACAGAATCATCAGGCAAGCAAACAAATGATTCCAACAAATGGATCGACTGGGAATTGGCTCTCAAAAAGAAATGTTCATATCTCATCCGTACTTAAATTAACTTCACCATCTGCTTCTGTGACCGTTACGAATTTTACCCAAAACATTGCATGTCGATTTCATGAAAGGTTTTATGATGGCAACAAATAGGAATAGTCGTTTTGAAATGAGAAGAGCTTCAAATTCCCCCAGACTATTGCATGCAGAATAAGAGAACGCTAATCATGAGCGTGATTGGTTGGCTCCAGCTAGCAATCCATGTCGTACCGTGGCTCTCGTTCAAAAGTTCAGCTGGGATTGGCGCCATCCTAACCGCAACCCAAATGAGCATAAGCATTATAGGACATGGATGGATTGGAATGAGGATCCCATGACATATTGTTACATATCAGTCGGAACGGATCCTGCAATTGTACAATTAGCGGCGCAAAAAAAAAAAAAATAAAAAAACGGAGGCAATTAGCCATGCGGCGAACTGCAGTGATGAGCGCGACGCATAATAGGCGCGCAAAGGCCCCCGCTGACAGCCAGCGGCAGCAGCACGTGCCGCAGCTCGGCGGTCCCGCCTCGCAGCAACGAGGCTCGTGCTCTAATGAGAGGGATTTAATAGATTTACAGCAGCGGTGGAGTCCTGTGCACCCGCAGGCTCCTGGCACGGGAGGAACATCTGTAATAGCTGCTGGGCTGCCTCCATGTTAAGGAGAAAAGGTCCGCGTCATGAGAACCGCTCGCAAAATTGACACTGTGCAGCTAACAAAAAGCGACATTTAAAATGGGCGTCATCACTTTTGATTCATTTGTTTTATTCATTTGCAGATCTTCAGTTTTTTTTGTATTTGCCAACAATTTTGCAACCATTGTGGGATCGGGCTGCTTTGTTCATGCGTTTCATTGTTTCAGTGGAATTGGTGTACATTTTTTAACTGTGAATGCAAACAAACCGAAAATATGTGTATACACACACGCACACACACACACACACACACACACACACATATACACACACTAATATATAAAAAAAGACTTTCTGGTATTCCTCTTTTGAGCCAACCTTCTCAGGCCAGGCTACTTAGCAGCTGCCCCTGAGTCACGCGTTAGCTCCGCTGTGCCGATCAATAGGCCCAGTCTGCTAATTTGTTGTTAATCTGTCTATTGATCAAGTGTCCTCTGGGAGCGCAGCGGCAAACGGGCGCTCATCCAATTTAAATCCCCGTGCAACGTCACATCATAAAGTCAAATGACCATTGCTTTAAGACGTCAATAACTGAGGGAATATATTAAAGCTTCATTAAAAACTGATTTAGTTCAGCCATGGTGGTTGGATATAAGAACTATGGCCATTTCCATTTATAAAGTAAAGTGTAAAGTGTAGTTTTGTGCTTGTTCTGAAATAAGATGGTGCCAAAGCTCGACCTAAATAGTAAAGTAGTCCAGGAACTCAGGTCAAGGAAGCGAGACGGGCTTTTTATGTTGAATCGGGGAGCTCAGTTTAGCCTGGGTTGTTAGTGGAAGTGACAGGGAGTCTTCATTGCGCATGCACGTGCACGCATCATCCAAGGCCAGTATCATAAAAGAAGTTGAAGATTATTTTTTTAGCGTCAGGCACTATCTCAATCCTTTATTAGCGATTCATTTAAAAACACGCACTAGCTGTTCATTCAGGTTTTAAATATACACATTCCTTCTGCTATTAATGATTATTTCATCAAAAAAATCCACAACTGCACTTCTCAACACCTATTCCCCAATTAGATAAATTGTTAATAGCTTCCCGGCGAATAACAACCCCCCCCATTTATAACCCAGCTGTCTAACATATCCGGGAACCTCATCTGATTGTGATCAATTACATCCAATAGGAAACTGTGGTTGGCAAAACCGAGAGCACGTATCAAGTTCAGAAAATAAATTCAACCTTTCTGCTCTCCTCGCAGACCCAGGAAGAATTTGGGGACAAAAGCAACGTTTGGTGTCCGCTTATTTATTCCTCCTGTCACTCTTCTTTTTTTTTCTTTTTTTTTTACACCCCCTCTTCTCTCCTTCCACCTCGTGCTCTGCCCAGCAGCTTCTTCCTCTCGCACGGGCGCTGCGATGGCGCTGCAGCACAGAGCCAGCAAGGCATGCAGGGGAAAGATCTGGGTGACCATCTGCAACCAATTATGGCGGCGCTGCAGCCACCCAGAAACTCAGTGACGGATGGGGATCTTGTATTTATAGCTGGGGTAATTGGCAACACTCAGACACACATAATACACACTCACAATAAATAGACACTCCAAAGAACACACTGGAGGCCCAGTTTGTGTTTAGACGTCACGTAGACAGGCCTCACAGGAAGTGGGAAAAGGTGCATGAGCAAGGCGGGATGCGTGTGAATCAGAAAAAAAAGTATTGGGATGGGAAGACAAAGAATTACGGAGGGGCGTTTTGCATCTCCAAACGTTTTCCTTCGAGGCCCGCGTGCTGAGAAATGAAAAAAAAATGCAAGGGCCACTTTATACCATTGGTCAAAACATATAAAATATAACCATGCAAGCATATATTCTTTATCCTCTGAGAACTACTACTACTGCGACTTACTGAGGACCTGAGCTGCCCCTTCTATATTCTTGTTTATTGGTGTCCGCAGGTGGCCAAGGCGCACACACCAGTCAATGATGACTTTATTGTTGCTTTATGTTTTCTGAAGTACAATTAGTGTCATTTCTAATCATTAAATATATGATGAATATATTTCTGTTTTTTGTGGGCAAACTGAGATGGATTCATAGCATTTCCAACTCACCCCTGTTGTAACAGTACTAATTGTAGATTGTAAATTTTTTCCATGAAAAAACAGATACCGGGCCCGTAAATGGCCCCGAGCCATCATTTGGACACCATTGGTCAAATGACAGCCGTTGTTTCCAGGCTGTACTTGAAGTCGGCACCGTGCTCAAACATGGCCGTTGCCTGTCTCGGCCTGTCGGCGCGTCAAACCTGCATGCGAAAAAATACACAAAAGCACATCTGCCTCTTGTTAGGTGCCATAAATGGCTGCCATGTGCTGCGCTGATAAATAGTGCAGTCTATTTATTGGAGCGCAACAAATTGGCTACAAACACGGTGACAAGGAATCGAAGAGCTATAAATTCGACGACGGCAGTGGTGTTGAAGTGTTGACATGTGCTACAGGTATTTTACAAGGCTTCCACTCCTTTCCCTTTCTCTCTCTCTCTTTTTTTTTTTAATGTGGGCATTTCTTTGAAGCGCTTTCTTCTTTCACACAGCGCCTTGTTAAAAAGGCGGGCCGGCCAGGCGGGGGTACAATGGCACTTTTCGCACTGAACGGGGTTCGGGTGGGGCTGAAGTGCCGAGCCGCCACTTGAGAACGATAAAGCGCCCCGCTCGCAGCCCAGCACTCGGTCCCAGACGTAAGCAGGAATTCTTGAATGAATCGGCAACAGGCAAGCCTTAAACCCCCGTGTAATTACATATTTGGAGTTTATCGGGGTTTATACGAAAATGCGCAAGTTTCCCGACGCCGGTGGTCCTTAAACACATCCATATGTCCCGCTTGTTTCCATTTCTGCTCTCTCTCTCTCTCTCTCTCTCTCTCTCTCTCTCTCTCTCTCTCTCTCTCTCTCTCTCTCTCTCTCTCTCTCACTCCCCGTCTCTCTGCTGTCGAACTTCCTCCTAGTTTCGGTCCGTGACAAATGTTTGCAGAACAATGTGGGCCTTCGCGGCGCGGTGTTCTTCGTTCGTCCCGTTCCACTCGCCGGGCGAACAAACAGAGGAAGCCGAAACCTGTCCGGGTCACACCGATTTGCAACGCACACAACATAATCTGGGGAGGCCTTTCTCGCGTGTGGCCCACTTTTTTTTTTCTCTCTCTCTCGCTCTCATTCTCCCCGCTGGAGAAAAATGATCTGTTTTAAAACACGTGCTAAATATTACCATATTTACATTTTCTTGTTTCAAAAAGGCAGCACAGGGGGAGTGTGCAGTCCATTTTTCTTAACCGCCCACCCTTCTCTCTAACTTTTTTTTTTTTCTTCAAGTGGGAAGGTCTCTGTCCGAGGTTAGACCCCGTTTGAAACTTTAAACCTTTTTCATGCTTATTTGTTTTATGATTCTGCAGGACACCATGTTTACACTGAGAGTGCAACATCTGGATTAGATAATTTGTTGGGAATTAACTGAGCCCCAAATGCTTATCCAGCTCATCTGATTACATCTGTTTGAACTTTACCGCTCTTTTTTTTTTCCCAACATTCATTTCTTCTCCAGCCAACTCACCGCCATTCTCCTGTTGCTGCACGTGTGGTTTCCTAAAATGATTTAGTCACTGCGGCTTTCAAGTGAATCACACGGCTCCGTAGCTCTCCCGGGTTATTCAAATATTTACCTATACTTCATGGAATCGGCGTATTACTCCAGCTCAGCATTTTACTAATGCCTCACAATTTTTATCTCTCTGACCGTTATGCACACACACTGAGTTAGTTTCCCGAAATATTTAGGCCCACTGTGACGACTAAATGCTTCTGTTTGTGCTGTCACATTCAGTTTGGACTCAATGAAGAGTTCAATTGACACCCTTGTAAAGGTTCCCAACGATACTATTGGTTGGTTGTCCTTTGGGATGGACATATGATTATATTTCCTTCATCTGACAATGGGCAAAACAAACCAATTGAAATGCTATTTGGAATAGGATTGGAAAAGCCCATTGCTGAGGTCACCAGCCGTGATCCACCTATCCATGGGCCAGTGATACAATTACAAGGAAGTCAGCCTACCATTGAGCAAAAATTTGTAGCGCCTCTTCAGAAAAGGGAAAAGGGCAAATTATTCAACAAAAGTATTGCCTACGACTTCCAAGAAAATCTTTGTGAACCAGGCACCCGTGATGCTCAGGTCTGGCCCGGACATTCCCACACCGGCTGTTGGGGGAAAATTAACATGTGTCTGTGGTGCAAACAAAGTTGCTTTACACTACAGACTGGTTGAGAAAATGGAGAGAAAAAAAGTAGTGCACTGCATTTTTCCTCACTTGCTTCAAAACACGATTAATCAGCACTCAATTCACTGTGAATCATTTCTGATGAGGGCCCCACTGATTTGTATTTTATTTGATATATTTACTTATTTATTTAGGCCTATTAAATTTGCTAGAATTAAATTTGGATAGCTGATTAATCGGCTGATTAATTAAAAAAAAAATACTTCCTTTATAGTCCCTTAATGCTTACAATAAGAAAGATATGTATTACACGCAGCGCATTTGATTTTTTTTTCCAAGACTTTGTCCTTTAGTATTTGCTTAACATTGGCAAAAACAACGGCAGGTTTTTTTTTTTTCTTTTTTTGGACTCGGTGGCTTGGGTTGTGAACATGTTTAAATGTCATTATCTGTGTCTTAATTTGTGTTTTAATGAAAAAAAAAATAAAGTAAAGAGCTGATTGATTTATTTTTGTTAGCAGTTCTCACTTGAGAAAAATATGAATGTAACCGATTGTTCAAGTCAAATCAAAACATTCTCTTTCCGATAATATGTTCTATGGAGCCCATGAGTTGAAACGCCGCATTCTAATTAATATTGCGTTTGTGGAATATGAATTCAGCAGCAAAATCCACCCATTAAAAAAAAAAAAAAAAAAATTCATCTTGGGGCGGCCATTTTGTCACTTGCTGTCCACTGAAAATGCCATCACAGCCGCTCAGGTAATGACTTATCAAAGTCTCAATTCTTTTCTGAGTTTGATCATGTGACATTTGCAAAATGAATTGACATGACTTCCACTTTAATGGAGTGGACACTTTTGTACGGCTTTTATTTGGGAGTGGGGTCGGGGTGACCTCTTGTATCCAAGCTACCAACTCAACGTGACCAAAACACATCCCTTCTGGCCTCTCTCCCCACGCTACGATCCATCACAAAGCTGCTCCGTGTCCCCCGGGCGATGTGCCCCGTCCCCTTAATCTCTCCATCCTGCTGCGATTCCATCACCGCGGCGAAGCCACACAGAAAGATTAGCCCAAGACTCCGCGTACGACAGATGTGTCCAACGCATGATTTGTGTGTGTTTTATTGACTCTGGCCATCTGTTAATACAGTTGCCGGTTCCTCCTCTTGTGTTTGTTGATGCATTCAGACAGGGACGCTCGGTGCCAGAAGAAACATACGTCCGAGGAGAGGCCGGAGATAAAGAGACGCAGAGAGAGTGGAACAGGAGCACGGAGGCTAATATTTTATACCCCGGCTGCTGGTTTAAGTGTTAACCTGCGACCTGCCCATAGAGGCGAAGCATTTGTTTTAGCTGGCGCCTTTTTATTCGAGTGCGGCGAGCGCAAAGCGGTGTTGTTTGACGAATGAGTCTCAGATGTTTCGGTAAGGGCTTGAATTCCTGCGCCTGGAGGAAAGTGAGCGATTGCTCGGGATATGTGGAATTCCTGGTGGTAGCGCCTTCCCTCGGCTCGCCGCTGAAGCCATGCGAGCGGCAGTTGGCAGCATTCCTTGGATTGCGCATTTGCGTGTGTCAGTGTATGCTTGTATACATTGTGAGAAAATGACGATGGCACGCCACAGATGTTGTCTCGCGTTACACGCCTCGTCGTGTTCCTTTTTTTTTTTTTTTTTTTTAATGTTAAGGGGCATGACACAACGGTTTTCACTTCCCCGGAAGCAGCGGAGCTTAAAACCGTTCCATTACGATGGGAATTGAATCGTAACGATCATATCACGATGATACTGAAGAGAAACCTCAGAACATTTTCATCAGTATCAAAGGTTGTCGGACGCAGTTTACTGAAGCCAAGACGATAAGCTCGATCCTTGATGATGTTTTAAAAACAAGTGAAAAGAAGAAAAACCATGAGAGTGATGGGGAGAGGACCATGCAAATGTTAACGTTTTGATTTGTCCTTTCAACTCTATAAAAGTGAAGACTCAGACTCGCATGATAAAAAGTTGCCATTGATCCGTTCAGTTTTTAACGCGGAGTTCGGCCCTTTAACAACCATTTTTACATGGCGAGCCTCTTCCACTCCATACTCTACATCAGTGGTTCTTAACCTTGTTAAAGGTACCGAACCCAACCAGTTCATATGCACGTTCACCGAAACTTTCATTCGTGAAAAATAAAAATGATTTTTTTTACACAATTCAAGACATTAAAAACATGTATTAAAAAGAGTAAAAAAGTAAATAAAATTACATGGCAGAAATATACGTTTTTAAAATTGTATGACGTACTATCATGAGTCACACGGTGACTACTGAGTGAACTAAATTTCCCGCACCAATTGGGCGTGTTATAACTAATTGACATCTTGATTCGGGTGTGTCTTAACCTCCATGACAGAGACCGATTCGCCGAACCCCTAGGGTTCGATCGAACCCAGGTTAAGAACCACTACTCTACATGATCTTTTCTCCTGACACAAGTCCCCACTAATTACCACGACAAGTACTCCTTTCTATACCATACAAATACACGCTCTTGTTTGTGTGAGTTTTCTAAACTTGTCGCCTTCCGCGTCGGCGTTTCTCTACCTCATAATTGACCTGGCAAGCTGAGCTACACCACCTCATCTTTATCATCTACTCAAAAGCGGTGCTGATTTCAAATCCCCCAAAATAAGCAATCCCACCATCGACAGGGATCGTTTAGTAATTACAGTAATTTCATTCATCCACGCCTCCCCGTCGAAAAATATACTTGAGGAAAAAGCACAATTTTTTTTTGACCTGGATTACTGAAGCTTTCACACTTTGCGTTAACTTGAGTTGTGTTGGCAGCTCGTTCTATTTGCGGGCAGCATCACCGCTAAATGCTGACGCACCGTGTTTTGCTTTGAACTCTGAGCTCCACGAATCGATCCAAGTCTTCTGACTGCTGAATTGCCCAAAACAATGACCTCAATACCCTTAAGAACAGTCCACATCGTTTCTAGGTTTGAATGCAAAAACATGGATGGGTGCCATAAAAATGCTGGCCTGCCCCAAATTCAGCCGTGATCGGCTCCAGCTCACCTGCGTCCCAAATAAGGCCAAGCGCTGTCGAAAATGCGAGGATGGATTGATGCTAATCACCATGAATCACACTGTAATTATTTCACCCTATCCCCACACACTCCTCAAAAAAAGTCTTTGCAGGAGAAGAGAGGAAGTTGTTGCGTGTGCACAACCAAGTCCAACAGCAATTTGTATCCATTTCCACTTCCTCTCCATGTAATCGCCAGGTCAGCTATGAGCCTCAAAGGTGCGAGAATTACATCGTCACGCTTAAAGCGACTCACTCGGCAAGGATTGCATCACTTAGTCACCGCGGTCTGAGTCATTTTATCTGCTGCCAACGCACTCCTCGCTCTTCCAGCCAACTGCTCTGCCATGTCGCGATGATGTGATCTCTTGCCGCCCCGCCGTCACGCGGCCATTTAAAACCCCAGAACTTTACGTGAACCTGCCGAAGGAGGGAGTCGGCGTCCCGCCCGGGTAAACATACAAGCGAAGGGGGCGGTCCTCTTCAGGAAAGCGTCCAAAAGCGTCTTTCCCGAGAGAGGAAAAATGTAGTTGGAAAGTAACTAATGTGTTCCCTCGCCAATATGCTGAAACGCTACTCGCATATTCCCACAAGCAGATTGTTTTCTTGACCCTATTGGCTGATGTGTCTAATAGGAAAATAGTAATACTTTTCTATCAGACTAATGGAAAACTAGTCACACTATTAATAGATTAAGTGAAAAATAGGTTTTAATTGTTTTGCCTTTGGGGCCATCTTGTGGCGTTGTGGGGGAATTGCAGAAAGGGCCCCAAAACAGCAAATAGATGAGTTTTTTTTTCTGCGAATAATGGAGGATAGGTTTTTTTTAAAAAATGCAAATAGCCTGCCGAATAGATAATTAGTTGTCCTGTTTTGTGATCATAGTTTGCGGTATATATATAGTCGAAGTCTAAGAGTGTCAATAACTTACGATTTTTCACTACTCGCTGCAGAAATCCAGTGAACCCCTGCCCAGTCGTGGTTTGATATACTGTACACAAATTTGACCAGTTTGCAGTGATTTTCTTTTTTGCGTTCTTTCTGAAGTGCTCTAAAATGCCCCAAGATGGTGCCGAAATGCTGGCGAATAGGAAAATAGTAATTGGTATCATGGGAACTATGTTGAAGTGACGCATCACGACTGCTGTAAGACCTCTTTGCTGTGGTTGAGTGTCCATTAAAAAGTTGCCGCTAACAAACATCAAAATCAAATCATCTCTCAGCTCTTTCCTTTTCAGGTTAATGTTATAAGATGAATTTAAAATGATTTTTAATTGTTCTGGTGTTATAATTTGTGGTATATTTAGAGTCTAAACTATTAACATAGGCATAAAACATTTTGGGAGGCGTCTTTTTTTTTTTTTTTAAATCACTATTTGCGGTAAGACTCGGTCCCTTATCCCCATGAATAGCGTGGGTTTACGATATTGCCATAAGGAAAGCATTTAGGGTCTTGCACACTGCAGTTTGAAATTACACATCAATCTAAAAATGAAATGACCTCACACCTAAGCTACTGTACATGATTGCAGGGTCGCAACTCCACTTGTGGCTCATGCAGTCGTATGGATGGCTCCTACCTCCGTGACTCTCTTGTCCCCCTTCAACTTTGACCAGTGGCGGCTTAAGGTTAGCCGCGGAGGGTGTCCGTCTCAGGAAAAACAAAATCCCTTACAGAGAGAACTCTTTCTTCAACATCGGGCTTAGGCGTGTTAAAAAGTAGTTGTGTCTGCCGCGAGGGGCGACTCGACTCAACTCGGGATAAATATTAAGAAATAACTATCGTTTGTATCTCGGGGTCAGCACGCCGTGCCAGGTGGGTGTAGAGTAACTGATCAGAAAGATAAATAGATTTGACTTTGAGCACATGCACGCTTAGAAAAACACATGTGGAGATTTGTTTGACTTTTTAGACCCACATGCGAAAACGCTAAAGCACCGCGCTCATACTTACGAAAGGAAAATTGAACTTTGCAAAATCTGATCTCAAAAAAAAAAAAAAAACAGGCACAGGATTTTTGGGAGTCCATTTGAGTCCGTGTACTGAGTGCAATGACACATATTGTGCTGCATTTCTCGCTTCACAAAATTATTTAGCGACTTTTTACGATGCCATGAATAGTCACGGGATGCTACGAAATGTTTCATTTTTTTACTTTTTCCATTTCATTTATATTCCACCAATCAGCAGTCAACACATAATCGCACATCATACAAAAGGGGTCGCCTTGTCACCATTGGGTTGAACAAGGCGACCGACTTCTGGTGCCCGTAAAGATGATGAAATAATTTTCACTCGTACCTGCAGCACTTCATAAACTCCATTTCATACATGTCAATTAGTGTGCACATGCAACGTGAATGCTAATCTGTGCATCCTACAAAACTCACTGCAGGTCTGCTTACCTGTTTTGCATTGTCGCTTGCAAATGGCTAGCTCTTCCCCCAGTCTAGCTTCCAAGTCTTTGGCTGTGAGTAAAGGAAGCGATTATGTCATTATTTTCCACCTCATCGTTAGTCTTGTATGTATGAAGCAATTATTGCATGCTGCAGCTCGCACTTGTGTTTGTCGTGACAAAAAGCACCCCGTGATGTACTTAATGCCTTAATTGGCAAGTGATGAGTTAATTGACCCCCAGCGTTGTTCAAAGAAGGGGGTACAGGGTTCAAATGTAAGCGGGGGCTTTTGGGGCTGCAGGTGAGGTTGGAGTGGATTGGCCCAGAGCGCTTCCCGTGTCGCGACGCCGGCGGAGGTACCCATCCGCCCCTTTGAAGTGAGACACAAACACTGGAAACACTTTCATCGGCCCGATGTGTCATCACGGCCGGCCGGGTCCCATGTATATGTATGGGACCGCCTTCAAATATACAAAGTCCAATTTGCCCGGTACAGGCCAACCTCAGGATAATGAATCGCATGTGATGTGTTTCTGATTTGCAGGCCTGAGTCATCACCAGATGTTTTTTTTTCGACAGGAAGACTTCCAATTCTGAGGGAGAACTCTGCACTTTTGAAAGGCTACCCGAAGGAGACAAAGAAAAGCAGTCAACAAACATTTGCCGCCATGATTAGTAGCGCATCAGGGCTTGTAAAATGTTCAATGGCTGCTGTCTCTGGAGGGCAGACCCAAATGTTTCTCGGGTCTCTAATTGGGGCGACGCAAGCCAAATGAGAGGAGTGTTTGAGGTCAACAACAGAGGCGGAAGTAGCTCAGGCAGCGGGCCTTCAGATAAAAGCTTACAGGTGCGAGCGAGCGCTCGTGCATATGCATGCAAGCTGTGGCGCTTGTTTGTTCTGGTGTCTGTCCGCATGTGGAAAATGCAGCTCCCAAAGCGTCATGTGTTTGCTCAGTCCCGGGCATGCTGTGTACTCTGGAAAACATTCCCCCGTCCTCCTCGCTTGCCGCGAGCCTTTTTACATGTGCCGAAGGAAGCTCGCGTAGTACCGGTTCACCTTGGGAGAAGCTAGATCTGCGTGGGTGTGCGTGAGAGAGCTTTGGTGAATTTCAATGTGTGCGAGTGATACTCTTGTTTTTGTGTTAGCGAGTGAATGCGTGCGGTAGCTTGATTTTGATTGTGTGAGAGGAGCGAGTGTCACTGAGTCAGGGTGTGTGTGTGTGTGTGTGTGTGTGTGTGTGTGTGTGTGTGTGTGTGTGTGTGTGTGTGTGTGTGTGTGTGTGTTCCCGCATGTGCGCATCAGAGAGTGACTCCCAGCATGCGGTGTTGTTGTAGGTGAGGGTGAGGAGCTCCCCTGATGGGTTGCCGTGGCAGAAAGGCCAGCTTTGATCGAAGGCCCAAAAAGAAGAAGAAGAAGCGGTGGAGGAGGAGGAGGAGGCGGGGAGGATCTATCCTGGAGAGCAAAGAGGTGAACCGAAGCTACAAACTGACTCAACCACTTCAAGTGTCCTCATATTTTAACCTCGGCAAAATCTGTCCTATTCGGGCTTAATCTACCCAGCGCCGCATAGGATTCATCCCCGATAATTGAATAATGCATTTATTCAATCGGCCCAGGCAGCGTATCGATTGTCCACGCCGCGCGGAATCCGTTGGAAGCGTCTCAAAAGACGAGCCGAGCCGCCCCACATGTGTGCACACGACGCGCAAAGCGGTCGCACTCGATGCATGTCGATTAGGTCACAATTGCCTCGAAGGCAGACACGTTTAAAGGATGGTTAAACGTCTATCGGTTGTTTACACTGCAATGCTAACAGTCCACCGTTTACCGTTAGGGTGCCTTAATGCATTCCTACCAAATCCACAGCACACTCACAAAAGCAAAAATACAATTTTAGGAATCTGCAGCTTTTTTTTTTTCCCAAGTCAGCTGTCAGAGCTGCCCCCCCCCCCCCCCTTTTTTTTTTTGGTCATAGACAGGCTCCAACTGAGAATTCAAGTTGACACCATTAATTGGTCCCAGTTCCATGATGGCATCATTGCACGCTGTTCAGTGGTACGATTCAGATTGATTTGCGTAATGTGCGTGTTGAGTTTGGAATAAATTAATATGCCGATGTTAGCTCTTTTAAAAGCCGCAAGAATAGCAACATAAAATAATTATGTTCCCATACCCCCCCAAAAATTAAGTACAAATCTGCCAATTTTTGCCTTTTTTTCTCTGTTTTCAAGTTAGAGCAAACACTAAAGGACCTTAAAGCAGTCAAATGTTCTGCCTCTAATTCTTTTCTTTATTGTTGAAAGCGTTAAGGGACCCAAAAAGTAATTTTATCCTGTATATATATTTTTTAAATCAATCTGCCGATTAATCGGTTCTCGGAATTTTATCAGAATCAGCATCAGCCTCAAAAAAAGTACAAAATCGATCAGGTCAATGCAGTGTATTTAAACCAAAAGTATATTCTTCTGTTGAGGTGCCCTTAGCGGGGGGCGGGGCCTAATGAGTGACATCAACAGGGGCATTCTGTCGAATTGGCTTTTTTTTTTTTTTTTTTTGGTCACATTTAGTTCAGTGTTTGTCTACTTCATGCTCCTTGTGAGTGTTTTAATTTTGTATTTGCTACCTTTTACTGATTTTGTATTTTGTCAACGAACCAGGCAATTGTTTAGTTAAAAAAAAAAAACCCTGAGCACGTGTTGCATTTCCAAGCAACACGTCTCCTTGCTAATTGCTGTCATTAAAATAAAAGTACATTAGCACTAGAATTGCGTAATCGTGACTGTTTTCTTTTAACGCCTAATTGAATATAATATGATCATGACTAAATTGATTAGATGAAGCAGTTTAAAAAAAAAAAAGCCTTCAAGTGCTGCGTGACTTGCTGCAAAGATTGTATTTGATGCCGAAAGGGACACCGCACTTCCGTTATAATTATGGCTACGCTGATGTCTGTCTGAGCGAGGAAGACGCTGCCCGCGCCTGCTCCTTCTCATGCGATGGGAAAAAAAGGCAAACAAAACTCGGCATCGTTTAGTGTGGTTTCGGCCCCAGTTTTCCGTCCCCCATATGTGCCGCCTGCGCGCCTTGTGGGGCGGACTGAAAAAGAAAAACAACAATTAGACATGAATGTGTGTGTCCAAACAAACGAGTCAAAGGGCCTGTTGTGTTTGTGGGAAGATGATTGGTGGGCTCTGGGAGAGAGAGCGCCGCTTCTCTCTGTGAGCTGACCCCGCGTTTGAGTCCCGCCGCGCCGGCCCGAGACGCGCAGATGGGCCGCTCTCCCCCTCGCCTCGCCTCGCATTCATTATCTGTTAGTCTCAGTTCAACTCCTGTGAATCCAGTTCACTTTCATTCAGCTCAATGGCGTTCCACTCGGCTGCTCTCCTCTGCGTCTTTGCGCCTCGCCGTGAGAGGGGGCCGGGCCGGGACAATCATCAGCGTGCATATCCACGTAAATATTTATCCAGATTTTTCAATAAGGAGGTGTTTGAAATGAAATTCCGGCAATACGTTCTGCCTCCTGGTGGTGGCGCTCCAAGAAGAAAAGTAAGTCAAAATGAAAAAGAAACCAAGAATGAAACCAAGCCCTTGTGTACAAACGTGTACTTATTGGACCATCCATTGTCTTTAAATGATTCAATGCATGCAGAGTTTGAATTTGAATTTTACTTTTTTGACCAGAAAGGATTTCAACTTCAAGTCAGAAATGAGTCAAGAATGATGAATCACCAAGAAAACTATTTATTAATGTTCAGAAATGCAAATAACAGAAAAAAAACTAGAATTAAGATATGAAGAGAATCAACTTTTCTCATTGTTTGTGGGAAACAAATGAAATGGCTAACAATAATATTTTACAATGAAATAATTTGCGTTTATTATTCCCCAGGTAAATCCCCAACATAATTTAGGTTCAAGACATACTTTTAATAATGAGTGAAGTCGTTCTTACTGTGACAAATCTTTTTTGTTCTTTTTTGTGAGAAGTCTTCATTTTGAACAAACCAACAATGATTGTCTATTGTTACAGATCTAAAGAGACCATAATGAGTTTGATTGCTTGTAACATTGCAACTTATAAAATAATGCCTTTCAATAATATACTTTCTGTCATCGTTTGTAATTTTGGATTGAAATGGTTTTCTGATTTTTCAAATATAGGGAGTATTGTTTTTTAACCGCACAAACATGTATTGTAGTCAATATCGATATTTGCTCCAGTGCTATTGTTATCACCAACAAAACATTGTAACAATATAGTATTGTTTGCCCGGTGAGTAATGCATCCAAAGTCTCGTTAAAAAAAAAAAAAAAAAAGTGTTCTCCCCCCACTTTCCTTTCCCCTCCGTCTAGCAACAAACAAGCTGCAGATCGGTCAGTCAGTCCACGCCTGTTCCAGACGAGCAAAAAATAGCGTTCTTCTTCTTTTTTTTTTTTCCTCCCCAGCAGACACGTGAGGATGTGGTCGCAAGCCATCAAACACAATAACAGGCCCGAGCTGTCACGCTTCTGGCCGTGTCGTGCAAAAACAATGCAAAGCGAGCGCAAAGATTTGCTCAACATGCCACCCATGCTTTCGGCTGCAATTGTAGCGCGAAGAAGGAAAAAGAGAAAGATGGCATCCGAGTTGGAACGATGAAAGGAAGGGAGAGAGATGAGAAAGCGGCTATTTTAAGACGACAAGAAAGCCACGACACGTTTTCCCCGCCCTTCTTTTCACTTCGATGCATGTTGAATAGTTTCCAAAACGCGCGGTGTGGCTTGTGTAGCTAATTTGCAGTTATTCTACCGCAGCAAGTAGGCCCTTTTGCGCCTTCCGCAAACGTGCACTTAGAGCCCGCGCGGCGTCTCTGTTTCGCAGCCTGTGTGGGCCTGCGGCGTGAAAACCGCATGTCCGCTCGGCTCCGCGCTGCGTGGACTCCACATCACGCTTTTCTGAGCTGCGGGGGCAAGCGGGAGACGGGGGTCCGGTAGACCTGTGGCCAAGATGAGCCTTATGCCAGTAAGAGGTTTAGGATGAGCTCAACCGGTGGTTCTCAAACTACAATTTAGAGCTCAGGGGTCCACGGAAAAAAAAAGTAATTTGCAACAGATTGCATCGTTTGTAAAAGTGCATACACTGTAAACAGCACAATTTGTATTTCTTTTGGGCTAAAACAGTCATGTAAGTTGGAACGTCTTTGACATAAATTGACATTTCTGGCAAGAGTTAGCGCAACAGAGCAAACGCATGCTGAGTTGCTTTCACTGATAGCTTTAGGTGGGCGGGGCGAACCAATGTAAGAGACAGCGGTTCTGTAAACGTATTTCTTGTGAAAATTTTTCACAACGGCAGCTTTTAAAATGTTTAGTTGAGCTCCCCGAATTAAAATGTTTTGTTTTTTTTTTTTTTAGTTTGCCATCATAAAATTTTGAGTTCATCCAGCATTTCTTTTTTTTTTTCCTTTTTTTTTTTTTTTTAAGCATTGCACCGACATACATGTGGCAATAAAACAAACATACTAACTCAGCCGATCATTCTTAACTTCTTTTGGCAATTTTTTCAAAAAGTCAAACAAATTGAAATGAAATAAAAGTTATGGTGAAATAAGATTGCGTGAATTAAGTAAGACATTGTGTTGGAGTTTCGGTCAAAAGTGTGCTTTCAACAATATTTGGTTGTGTCAATAAAAAGAGATTTATTTGAGCGAAACTGATGCCATGTTCCATAAAAGTACTTAAAAAATGTAAGTAAAGTCCATTTTTTAAAAAATCAAAAGTGCATGAGTTTCTCAAGTATTAGCAAGTATTCAAATAGAAGTACTTCTCCTCGTACTCGTTTTTTTTTCTCCGTTCCTACTTACATTTAAAGTCTCAAAATATCAATTTATCACAACACCGAGCTCCCCGCTGTTACGGATTGGCTGCAAATTGCCAGGGAAATCACTGAATGCTAGCTCGTTGCGCCGCAACAAAAGAAATCATGGCTCGCATAGCAAACGGGTTGAAAATGGGCAAAAATACTTTGTGAGTAGTTGATTGTGTCTGACACCCCGCCACTCCCAGACGCGGTGTTGTTTCGCTGTTTCACTCAAGAAGAGAAGAAGGTGGCAGACGAGTCTGACATTAGCCAAAAAGCTAAAGCTAATGAGTAGCCCAGATTGCTGCTAGCCTGAATAGATTTATATCAGCGTTGAGCGACAAGGGCGGTGACACAGAGAAGCTTCATCACCAGGTTACGACTTCAACAACAACAAAAAAAAATTGTGGCCAAGTAAGGGCTTCCCTGCACCTAAAAAGTTTGAGTATCCCTGAACGAAATGATTTGATGACGGGCACAATAAATCTGTTGTGTGTTTCTTGGCATGCCGAGGGGGAGGATTACAAGTTGTCACACAAAGGAATGCAAATCGCAAGCCAAACTCTCCGAGAGGCCCGCCGAGTAGCCGGCCGCCTTAAGAGTTATTTGCGGCGACCTGTACCTCCTCCTCCCTCTATTTTAGGTTTCGCTATTAGTCCTAATAACCGTGAAGGGCCCGAGAGTAGCCACTGTATTCATCTCCAATCAATGGCTGTGCCGCCGCGCACCCTATAGACCTCCCTCCACATTTGCATTCCATCAAGTGAAATGACCAGCAGGACAATGGGTGAGAAGTCGCTCTCGGGCTGGCCTGATGGAAATGCGGAATCGTCAATGAGACGACAGTGGTTTGCATGGGGGGGCCCCACCACAACTAGCGAAAATCGCTGTGTCATTTTTGGACGTGATAATAGAAATCAACATGATTCGATATGTGTCCCGGGTGCAATAACGATTCAAGGTTGCTATCAGTGGAATTATTTAATTTTGTTCCATTCAGTGGGATTACAACCTGATTCGATATGGCACTATTGATGAAAGACAAAGAAGTGTATATGCAGCTTTTGCCATTTTTTATGTATTACCAATAAGCGTTGATTTCCCCCTCATCCAAAAATATTTTGAAAATATGTCGTAAAATATATTTAAAAACCCGCAAACAGATGAGTCTATGGGTGTGCCCGGGTCCACTTTAAAGCTATCCATCCACCCATCCAGTGACTGCAAACAGGCGCTTGTGGATTAACTCTGGAATAGTTTCCCGTGTAAAGAAAACACATGATGCCAGCTCCGTTGCCAAAAACGCACACCCAGCCACAATGAAGTGTCTCAAATCAAGTGAATTTATGCTCCTTCTACCCCCCCACCCCCCAAACATTAAAAACAATTGTTTTGCGGCCCATTTCAGTTCCGTTTGATGAAAACATCACTGCAAACTTGAACCACAAGAAGAAGCATCAGATTAATAGCCCTTCAGTCAAAACTGAACATTCTTCATGCTAGCCAACGTTTTTAATGCAGCTCTTACGATTTGACCAAATGAGGTGTCTGGTGAGTGTGCTGACAGAACTTGAGCAGGCTTGTCATTTCAGTCTGTGGTGCATATCCCAATGGAGCCAACCCTTATTCATACCTCCTCCTAGTGGTCACGGCGGGAACTACAAGGAAGCTCACTCCCTAAATTACAGCCGTCGTGTGTCAACTACATCGGCGGCGGCGGCGGGTCAACCCCCTGTCTGAATGAATGGAAGCGGAATTGTCGGCATCGTGACCGCCAGCCAACTTTCTGTTCACGCAGCGGCAGCCCAGGGGCCGGGCGGACAAAACCGCAGGACGCGGATCAGCGCTGCGATAGCGGAATTATTCCACTC